GCCCCTGGTTCAATGTATCACCCGAGATCACCCGAGGTCACCCGAGGTCACCCGAGGTCACCCGAGGTCACCCGAGGTCACCCGAGGTCACCCGAGGTCACCCGAGGTCACCCGAGGTCACCCGAGGTCACCCGAGGTCACCCGAGGTCACCCGAGGTCGCAGGTGCGGCCTCTTCGGCTCCCTCTCCGGCTTCGGCCACACCGCCGTCGCACTTCTCGCCCGCCGCTCCGTGCGCAGATTCGGCGAAGCGACGCCGCAGCCGGCCTCCCGGCGCGCGGTCCGCCGGCCTGAGGCGTGCGGGGGTGGCGGGGCTAGGCGCGCGAGGACACACGCTGCTCGCCACCGCCTCCTGCGCCGCAACCGATTTGGCGCTATCTTCGCCGCCGCCGGAGGAGCAAGCGGGAGCCGGGCCGGCGTCTCCTCACGCCGCGCGCCGCTGTGAGCTAGGCGCTCGCGCTCGGCTCGACTCGCGTCGCCTTCGCGGCCCTGCCCGTCAACTGGGTCCCCGCGAGATATGGGGAGATATGGGGAGATATCTCAACTGGGTCCCCGCGAGATATGGGGAGATATGGGGAGATATCTCAACTGGGTCCCCGCGAGCTCCGAGCGGCTCGGCGGGTGGCCACTCTCCCCGCTGCACCGCCGGCTGCGCGCTTGCTGTAGGCCGGCCGGGCCGAGGGGTCTGACACAGCAGAAGACACAGTCTGGATGACGGAGTGTATGAGTTGCTCGTAGGTCGGGCGGACGCAGGGGATGGCGGTGACTGCACGGCTGACCACTGCGGGTGCCGCGGTCGGGTTCGGGCAGGGGTCGCTCGCGGGCGACCACCAGAACTTGCGTTCGCTGCTCAAGGTACAGACACACCACCGCACCAGCGGCGGCGGCACCACGACCCTCCCTCCCCCCCTCGCCCCCCCCACCGCCGCCGCCGCGTCACCTTCCCTTTCCCTGCCCGCCTCGGCGGTGACCCTCAGCGGTGGCGTGCCCCACGCCCCGCGCCCCGCCCGCCGGGCCAGGTGGTTGGCCCGACGCTATACGGTTACCTCTTCGGCCTCGGCTGCTCGGTGGGAGTGCCCGCCCTCCCCTTCCTCTTTGCCACCGCCGTCTCGCTCTCCGCCACCGCCCTCGTGCTCGCCTCGCCCTCGCACGTCTGGGACCCGCCACCGCAGCCTCCGGCCGCGCGTGACGCGGGCGGTGGCGGCGGCAGTGGCAGCGGCGATCTTGCTGCCGGGAGCGGCGGAGCCGGAGGCAGCGGGAGGGGCGGCGGAAGCTGAGACGAGCCTGAGGATGCTGACGGTGACGAGTTGAGGTGTGTTGTGTGTGTGTGTGTGTGGGGGGGGGGGGTTGAAGAAGTAGAAACGCAACGGACGACCCCGTGTTTTACTGAAAAAGTGATATCTGTAACACGCGAGACACGCTCGACCGCTCGAGGGCTCGGGCGTCGGGGAGCTTGGGGCGCACCCCGGACGCAGCGCGCTCCACATGCCCATGCCCCTGTACATGTGGGCATTCACATGCCCCTGCCCCTGCCCCTGCCCCTGCCCATGCCCATTTCCATGCCCATGCCCATGCCCCTGCCCTTGCCCATGCCCCTGCCCCTGGTTTGTTGCCTTTGTGGAAAAGCCCCCGGAAGTCCTCCCCCCCCCGGACCCGGAACCTCCCGTGCTCCCCCTGGGGGGGCCCCCGGG